TCTTTCCCTATGTCTCCTCTTGTTCGTTCCTATTGCAGGTTGTTTTTCACGGGCACCATGCGACGTGCTAGATTGACATTCTGCCATGTGCCCCCTGCGTGCCATTGCCTTGTAGCACCCCCGCCTTCTCGCCACCCATTGTTCTGCCCGCGCTTACGGCCCCCAGGCCCCTACCCAGCAAGCCTCGGCACTTCAGCCCCCCCGGCCCAAACTACCGCCCTTCGCTCGCCCGGGTCCCCTTCTGCACGCGCCACCTCCCGCGGCTGCCCCGGCGCCAGCCCCTGGGTCGTGCCCGAAAGCGCTGGGGTCCCGCGGCGCCACCGCCTCCGCCTCCGCCTCGGGCGAGAGGTACCCGGGGCCGAGCCTGCAGCGCGCAGAGGCCGAGCTGGTGCGCGGTCCCCCGGGACTGGAGCGCCGTGCACCCCGGGGGTCCCCACCGTCGGGGCCGGGTGGCGGGGGTGGACGAACCAGGGCTTTGGCTAGTTCACAGTGTGGTCGGTGCGGAGGAAATGCGCTGTGGAGGGCCCTTGGGGACAGCGAGCCTGTCGCCCTTCTTAAAGGCACAGCGACTCCGGTTCAGCCCCCGTGCGCCGGGTCTTGGGAGAAATCCATGCTAATGGGTAAATTAGCTACCCACATGACGGATGCGGCCGGGATAGGCGGCGGCCGCCGCGCCGTGCGCCAATCGGAGAGCGAGGCTAAGGGGCGGTCGGAATGTTTGCTTACCTTTTCACCTCTGCGGAAGTCGGGCCTTTAACCCTGCTCACTGCCAGCCTGGCACAGCGGGCTGGAAGCGTCTAATACGTTGGTAGGCGGTGGCGAGGCTCCGTGTCATCCCCCTGGAGCCGTGGAGGCCCAGAGGAAGGTCACAGGGGTGGCTGGGGCTCCCATTCTCAAGCGTGCTGGCGCCATCCGATGCCATTCCCACCCGTCTCTCTTCTGCGACTTCGAAGCATGCTTTGATGGTTAGCCAGAACGAGGGTAGAGCTTGCTCAGGGTGCCCCTTTGAAACGCCGGGGCCGCCCGTGGCAGGCCCCATGCCCGTGCTGCTGAGAGATGCCGCTGCCAAGGGCCCGGTGCTACTTTGATTTTCACTGGGCAAGCATCAGAATATGACTTAACCCTAACGTGTTGAGAAATTCTAAGAATGTGGATTTCCAAAACAATAGCCCAGAGAGAGCCTCTGTGTTTACCACCTGTGTATCACAGATGGGCTCTGGGGGAGCTGAGGTGCCCTTTGCCCTATAGGAACAGTAGGAGCTGACGTGTTGGACAGCAAGGTGAGGAGCTCTTTCTTTAGGGACTGTCTGCTGGCCACGCTGGAGGTGGAAGACAAACTCTGAGGCCCCATCTCGCTCAGAGCTCTTCCCTCTTCCTCTCTCTGTGGCCCCGGACTCAGGTCTGCAGCCCCAGGGAAGGAGTGGCAGAAGCAGCTCCAACTCGGGCCTCTTGGGGCTACTGTGCTGTGACCACTCAGGCACCCTTGAAGCAGGGACTGACTGCCGTTCCCTCTTTGGCCAGACAGGGCCAGCATCTTCCCCGCGCAATTGGATTTTCCAAATCTGCCCTGTGATCCCCGGAGTCACTGAAAGCATCACCAACTACACAGCCCGCCACTGCCCAGGATCTAGCCACTTAGCATTTCAAGGAAATAATCTCTCTCTGTGTGTGTGTGTGTGTGTGTGTGTGTTTGCTGTGTCTGGGAAATAGGGAGGGGACCTAGAAGTTGACCTGGCTAAGATGTTTGCTTTGGGTATCTCCAGACTTAAATATCTCAAATTACCCTTTAAATCACTCCTAGCTGCACAAGCTCTTAATTATCCTGCATGTGGGGAGCCCCCAGCAGAAAACCTGAAAGACAAGGACATCCTCTTTCTAAGCCCCGCCTAATCCAAACACAGATCCTCTCCAGCTCCCTCCCTTCCCGATTCCGTGTCTAGACTGAGGAAGGAGGAGCAGTCAGAAGGTGCGGCTCCTTTCCAGAGTCTGGAAACTGTTTTGCTGCATGTGGATTGCACGTGGACTCGTTATCTCTGCCTTTTCCAAAGGCTTGGGAAGGGAAGTTGTATTTTACAAGTGACTTTTTTCCGTTTGGCTTTCAGCAGGCTGTGAGGTCAGACCTGCTGGCTGTCCTGTGTGACACCTCTGCTGGGGTATAATCGCCAGCCAGGAGGGTTGTAATGCTGCAATACTATGCCAAGCACTCCCCGAGCACTCGTGGGCCTGCGTGCCCTGCAAACGCTCTGTTTGTAACTTGCCTTCTCCACCTCTCTGCAGTCTGGTGTTATTCCCAGTCTGCAGATGGGGCGGCTGGCCAAAGGGGATATTGACTTCAAGCAGGCAAACGACATGCGGTGTTTTCCCTTTGGGAGCTTGTAGAGACATACCCTCTGTGCCTCAGATGCAGGAATCATCATTCTGAAAAGTGCAGACAGGCTTCCTCAGGGAGATGCCAGAGAAGCAGTGGTGTCAAATGGTTTAGGGAGACAGAGACTCGCAGGTAAGAGTCAGCCATGGCGTGGTCAGTTAAGCCTGCCATCCCATATGGGCACCAGTTCGAGTCTCAGCTGCTCCACTTCTGATCCAGCTCCCTGCTGACAGCCTGGGGAAGCAGTAGAAGATGGCCCAAGTGTTTGGGCCCCTGCACTCATGTGGGAGACCTGGAAGAAGCTCCTGGCTTTGGCTTCCTTGCAGCCCTGGGCACTGCAATCTCTTCTGCCTGGAATATGTCCCCCAAGTGTCCCCAAGGCTCACCCTCGGCTTCTGTCAAGTCTCTCTTTGAGTGTGACATGGTCCATGAGACACAGTGGCTAGAACGGCCACCGCCAGCAGCACTCGCCACACCTGTCCCTGTTTCTGTGAACATTTCTCATCTCCATTTTAGCCCTGCTTGCCTATTTCCTTGTTGTTCTTGTTTAGTCTTTGCCTTGACACGTGACGGGGCAGGGCCTTTGCCCCTCTGTTCACTGTGTGTCTCCACTGTGCAAAACACACAGTAGGCGCCTGCTGCTAGTTGAACGCATAAAGGCATTTGAGTGGTGGAGATGACACTGGGCAGAGCGCTGTGGGCCACAGTGGTTGTCTGTTCAGAGTTGGTTCTGGTGACTGTTAGCTTTGGCCCGGAGGTAGCAAGCGTGTCCAATTTCTGGTTTTATAGACATGGGTAGATGTAGACCTAGACATAGGTAGAGATATAGATATGGATAGTTATGGATATGTGGATGGATATATGGGGTGAATGCCATGATGTTTTGACGTTCACATGCATAGTGAAATGATTTCTCTAGTCAATTCTAGCCAGTTGGTCTAGCTATCATGTCACAGACTTGTGGTTACTTTTTGTGGTATATGTGGTAACAGCACCTAAAATCTCAGAGATTTTCTATTTACAACACAATGCTATTAACAATCATCCTCACGCCATACGTGAGCTCTCTCAATGTATTCATCCTGCACAACTGTCCCCTTTGGCCAATGTCTCTCCAGCTCCCTATCCTACCCTAGCCCTGCCCTGGTGGCCAACATGCTGTTCTGTATTTCTATGCATTTAGCTTTTTAAATTCTTAAGATTATTACTTTTCAGAAGAAGCTAGCTGATTAATCTGAAAGAGAGAGAAGACGGAGAAAGAGAGAGCACGAGAGATCTTCCATCTGCTGGTTCGTTCTCCGAATGTCTATAGCAGCCAGGGCTGGGCCAGGTGGAACTCAGGCTGGGTCTCCCGCGTGGCTGGCAGGGACTCAAGTACTTGAGCCATCACCTGCTGCCTCCCACGGTGCACATCAATAAGAAGCTGTATTGGAAACAGAACTGGGGCCCTAACCCAGGGAGGGACTCTGATGTGGGATGCACGTGTCCCAGGCAGTGGTTAACCACTATGCCAAATGTTCATTCCTCCATGTATTCAACTTAAAAAGAGAAAATCCACATGGAGATCATGCAATGTTTTCTCTTTCTGCGTCTGTCTGATTTCACTTATTATAGTGTCTTCCAGCTTCATACATGTTGTAGCATGGGCTTTTTTTTTAAAAAAAAGATTTTATTTATTCATTTTTTGAAAGCAGAGTGCCAAAGAGACAGAGAAAGGGAGAGAAAGAGAGAGATAGAGATGGATCTTCCATCCACTGGTTCACTCCCCAAATGGCACCAATGGCTAGGATTGGTCCAGTCTGAAGCCAAGAGCCAGCAACTCCATCCTGGTCTTCCACATGGGTGGCATGGGCACAAGCTTTTGGGCCATCCTTGCTGCCTTTTCAGGTGCATTAGCAGGAAGCTGGGTCAGAAGCAGAGTACCTGGGACTTGAACAAGTGCTCTGATATGGGATGCCAGTATCCCAAGCATGGCTTAACCTGGTGTTTCACAGTGCTGGCTCCAGGATCTTCTTTTTTAAGGCTGAATAATATCTCATTGTGTGTATGTGTGTGTGTGCATGAATGTATGTGTATATACTTCAAAAAGTTGATGGAAAAATGAGATTGAAACCTGTGCATGATTTTTTCATAACATGCATTTTCTATAAGCTATTTGTAGACCCCTCATGATGCTTGGATTTCAAAATTTTTGTATCAGAATAAATTTATATTTTGATTCTATTTCCCACAAATTTTCTGAAATACCCACACACATATGTACATATGACAATTTATTCAAATCCTCAAATACCTAGGCTGTTTCCATGTCTTGGCCATCATGAATAATGATGCAATGAACATTCATTTCCTGAGTGTAGACCCAGACATAGACTTGCTGGATCATGCGATTGCTCCATTTTAATTTTCTGAGTCACCTCCATACTGTTTTCCATATGGGCTGCACAGTTTGCATTCCCACCAATAGTGTACAAGGGTTCTCTTTTCTCAACACCTTCACTGGTTTTCACCCATCTTTTTGATAACAGCC